CTTTCTCCTATCAAAAGCAGAAAGACGGAACGACTCCAAAGCGTCATCGTAGTCATGGTAACCAACATAGGTGGCGTATTCCGGAAATTCCCGGGAACGGTAGTCGTAAAATTCATCCAAAATTCTTTGAAATTTTGAATTCTCGTCCTTATCTGAAAGAACAACATTAAAATTTTTCCTGTAGCAACATACGGTTGTGAGTCGTGGACTATCTCCTAGTCCTTAAAAAAGAAAATATGAACTTTTCAGCTGAAATGGTATAGAAAGATTCGCAGAATATCGTGGACAAAGAAGAAATACCGAACTTTAAAAAGATCTTAACAACAAGGAAGACTGACAATAAACAGAATCTTGTCCCGGAAGCTGAAATAGTTTGGTCATATCAAGCGCCAAGGCGAATTGGAGGAAAATAATAGCAGAAGACATGGTACCAGGAAGGAGAGACAGGGGCCGACCGACACGAAGATGGGCTCAGGATATAAGTGACTCCTTGAATATAAATAAGGCAGGAGAGCTGGCAAGAGACCGAGTTTCTTTCAGGCAGACCGTGATGAGAGCGACGTTCTACAAAGGACTTGCTTCATGACGATGATCAGAAAGACCACAAAACACCTGCCATGTGGGTGTTTGTGCTGTTTCAGCTGATAAAATTAAATGTGTACCTTGAGATGGCAAACAATAAACTGCAACAGAGAAACAACTCTTTAATTTTGTATGCGCAGCCACACGTTGTTGTCGTTGGGTTAATAAAGACGTGCAGAAAACTAATGGGGAATGGTAAGAAAGGGAAGACGAAGAGCAGGATGAATGAAAGTGGAGGAGAATGGCGACGATAGTGTTGATAATGATGATGACGATCTTGATGATGATGATGATGATGATGATGATTATAAAGGACGAGGAGAATGTCTTGGATAAGAAGAAGAACATAAAGACGAGAGGAACGGGGGGAAGAGAAGAAAAAGAAGAAGAAGAAGAAGAAGAAGAAGAAGAAGAAGAAGAAGAAGAAGAAGAAGAAGAAGAAGAAGAAGAAGAAGAAGAAGAAGAAGAAGAAGAAGAAGAAGAAGAAGAAGAAGAAGAAGAAGAAAAAGAAGAAGAAGAAGAAGAAGAAGAAGAAGAAGAAGAAGAAGAAGAAGAAGAAGAAGAAATGGAGGAGGACGTGGAGGAGAAGGTCGATGGTGACACAACGCATGGTGTTAATAAGAATAATGATTGATGCTGATAATGATAATGACGATGATGATACTGATGATGAAGATGACGATGAGAGTACATACCAACAATACACAGGCCACAAGACCGCTCGCAGTTGTCCAGCATCCACTCGGTGACCTCACACTGACCCTGGCGAGTCCACAAGTCACAGGTGGCGTCATCTCCGTAAGTGTTCTTGCAGGAATCTGTGAAAGACGTCGTCGAAATCTTGGTAATGGACGATACCAAATCAACCAATTGAAATCGAGGTATACTACTCCGTACAAATAGCAAATAAATAAATAAACGAACAGCTACTGAAAGGAGCTTAATTTTTTATAATTCGACTTAAATTATTTGTAATTTAATAAGTGAAATTTTGCAAATTCCACACGAGAATACCCTAGGGTTTAACCAAGTATTCAAATTGCACACAAGAATTCCTTAGGGTTAACCAGCTGTGAAATTGCACACAAGAATTCCTTAGGCTTCAAACACTTGTCCAAATTGCACACAAGAATACCTCAAGTTCAACCAACTGTTCAAATTTCACACAAGGATACCTGAAGGTTTAACCTATTGTTTAAGCTGCACACAAGAATACCTCATGGTTTAACAAACTGCTCACACTGCACACAATAATACATTAAGTTCAACCAATTGTTCAAACTGCACACAAGAATATCTTAGGATTCGACCAATCAATTCACAGTTCCTTTGCATTCTGAGTCATCGAAAGTTTTAGGCGCACGGGTTTCCACATCAGCTTTTAAAAATGCCTTATAAGACACGTATCCGCATTTTTTTTTTTTTTTCAGCAATATAGATTATGGATTAGGTAAAACTTCACAAAACCCCGTTCAAAGGCATAACATTTGTTTTCAGGGGATCCCCGACATGAAGTCTGGAACGAGCTCTCTCTCTCTCTCTCTCTCTCTCTCTCTCTCTCTCTCTCTCTCTCTCTCTTTCTCTCTCTCTCTCTCTCTCTCTCTCTCTCTCTCTCTCTCTCTCTCTTGTTGTACACCATCAGGACATCACACAGGCAATAATCGCCCGGTGACACAAAGTGCCACCATGCGGATGAGAATCACCCGTGGAGAGGTCCCAGAAACCCCTTTCAGCCGTTAATCCATATTTATGGTCGGTCCATATTGTGGCTCCTGGCAAGAGCCAGGGTGGAGCTTCAAAATTTAAAAAAAAATTGCATTCCACAAGGGAATAACGAATGAACGAATTTCTACCCCACCAGGACATCACACAAGCGATAAACACCCGATGGCACAAAGTGCCACCATGTGGATGAGGATCGCCGTGGAGAGGTCCCAGAAACCGCGTTCAGACAATTGGCCATATTTATAGCCTGCCTATATTGCGGCCTCTGACAAAAGCCAGAGTGGGGCTTCAAATAACAAAAAAAGGACGTATGATTGATAACAATCATAAATAACTATTTAACATCCTACATGAGGACGACTATCTGTTGAGAAGCTGGGGGTTGAACCGAACCACTTTCTTTGGCATTCAGTCGTGGCAACCAGAATGCCCCACAGACACCCTTCATATAACAGGCATTCCATTCTGGGTGTATGAATACAAGGGAAATAAAGAGATTTCATGGTAACATCATCAGAAGGTAAGTGCTTTCTCAAGTGGAGTCAACGCGCCGCTCGGAGACGAAAGCGGAACTGAAGCACTATCGAGTTACCTCCCCTAGGGAGATCTCGATAATGCAGAAGTTATCTCCACTTGTCAGTATCACCAATTTCTGAAACAGTCTGTACTTATACAGTCTAACACTGAAAAGGCAGTTCATCATCGATGGAGGCAGCAGTTACAACAAATCAGTAGTTGCACACGGAATTAATCGCACAAGGTTCAGCCAATTCTATGGCAACAGGCCACTCGCCATTTTTTAAATTGACAACATAAACCAAGCTGAGCACAGACAAAAAATTTCCAAATAATATCTACAGCTCACAGTGTCGCGCCATGCACTCAACTCAGTAGTGACTCCTTAAGTCAATGTGGGGAGTGGTCAGTCTCGAGAAGCAATATCGAAACAAGAGGGGCGGGACACTTGGTCACAGGTATATTGTTTTATGGACCAAAATGAAAATGTGAAGTAAAACAAAAATGCAACAAACTGAGACAAGAAAGATGAAAGGAGGAAATTGAAAATACTCTTATTAAAAACAGTACAAAAGTTTTGGCCACAGCCTTTATAAAGGGAGTACTAAATACAACACAAATTATAACAAGAAAGCCCAGTGAAGAGAGTGGAAGAAGAAACCGCCTTTTTTATTTTTTTAAAGTATTCAAACCATGAGTTGTAAACCCTTTGGTTCGGTACTAGAGAAATCAAAACCTTCGGCCTTGATTCCATGACAGATACCATAAAACTGGGATAAAAGGGACTTTTCTTCCTACCCCCGGGCGTGAACCCGGACCACAAAAAGTTCGTCACCCGTAGGCCGCGCCGTCAGGTTTAACCAACTGAGCTAGCAAGCCTGGCGAAAACGCGTATCAATACAACCAAACCTGTCGGCCTAGCAAGCCGGCAGTAGTGTACTCAACCACTACCACACATGCAAGAAAATTGAATTACAGAGCTCAAGGCATAGAAGAGCACGACAAAAAAACTAGGATGCCGGGCTTCACCCTGTTACCAGTAAGACGACAAAAGAAGAAGATGAAGAAGACATAAGAACAAATATTCCTGACGAATAATTATAATCATGGAGGTCAGCAAAAAGGTCAGCAAAAACCAGTGACGTCACACACACACACTCACACACACACACACACACACACACACACACACAGAGATATCCTCAGATACGCCTTGTTTGTCGTCCTGTTTATCAACCGAAACAGCGTGAACGACACGGAAATCACAACACGACAGACAGATCGACGGATTAGCAGGATCAGGTGATGGATTAAGTTGCTCGGACCGGCCGCTATCTCCCGGAGAAATCCTCGGTTGTTTTATTTTTCCTGAGGACGAAGGCAAGAACAGGGGGGAAATTGATATCGTTTCTCCCTTCACAAGAAGTGGCATCTGGGACGAGAGGTAGGTAACTAGAGAAAATTGCTCCCAGGAGTCCACTTCAGGAGTAAATATTTTCATTCGTTCACTTTTGTAGTCTTTCAATCAGCTGTTGTTTTCCCTCTGCTTTCGTTTCGAGCTCAGGATGGTGCGGGAGTTTTCTTATGAGTCTTTCTTTTCTTCTTTCTGTCTTTATTTTTTTCAACCTTTTTTTCTTTCGACCTTTCTTTCTTTCTTTCGCCCTTTCTTTCATTTCTTCATTCTTTCTGTCTGACTGTCTTTGCTTTCTTTCTTTCTCTTCTTTTTTTCTTTTTTTTCTTTCATTCTTACTTTCTTCTTCTTCTTCTTCTTCTTCTTCTTCTTCTTCTTCTTCTTCTTCTTCTTCTTCTTCTTCTTCTTCTTCTTCTTCTTCTTCTTCTTCTTCTTCTTCTTCTTTTTCTTCTTCTTCTGCTTCTTCTTTTTCTACTTCTTCATCTTCTTTTTCTACTTCTTTATCTTCTTCTACTTCTTCCCCCGCCTTCTCTTCTTCTTCGTCTACTTCTTTATCTTCTTCTTCTTCTTCTTTCTCCTCCTTCTCCTCCTCTTCTTTTTTTTTCCATGCTCCTCCATCTCTTATTATTATTTCTAGTATTATTATTAGCATCATTATCTTCAGCATCGTCATCTTATTCTTCTCCTTCTTCTTCTGTGTTCTTTAGAATTCACTGTCACTGCACTATTACTGATTGTGAAATTAAAATCATTTGTCCATGATTCACTCCCATACACCAGTAATGGCCATATGAAGCTCTTAACTCGTTCAGTCCCAAACAACGCACAGTATGTAATGGGTTAATCCTGGTGAATCATAGCCAACAAATAATGTGCTTTTAAAACGTTTTAAATTTGGTCAAACCATATTCCAGAAATCTGGCTACCCAAGTGTTCCCACAGATGTGTTTGGTCTTTGTCTAGCATTCATAAGTTGTGTCCCACTTGGGGATTTGCTGCTAAATCATCCGGTACCCAAAGAGTTAAGATTTCTGTTTGTCTGCAGTCGAGAAAGATATATTGCTCAGACTATAGTTTTTAACTTGTTGTGACTCTAATGATTCATTTACACGATTTGGCGCCTGGTTCCACTAATCAAATTAAAGGGGACGTTACTCTGGCCTAATCAGCTAATTCAGACACCGGATGTGACGACAAGCGGGAATTAAAGTCACCTGTATGTAAGGGTGTTTGTTATATAACCTCTGACCCGAAAATAGTGTCAAAACATGTTTGATTCTGAGGCTGGCTCCAGTTTGTTGGAGCATGAACGTCCACCCACCCAACAATTTATTATTGTTAATTTTTTAATAAGGGATAATGCATTTTTAAAAGATGAGTATATGCCTAACAACGGTGTAAGTTATATAAGGGAATTCATAATACACTGTTTTTTCCAAAAAGGATCGCTTGCCTTGATTTTACTGGTTCCAATTATGTAGAGTAGGTAAAGTAAGAGTAACAGTCCCTTTCTACGTCTTTTAGCGTTTTGGGAATACAGGGCTTGACCTATATTTTATAGACCAATCGGCCGCCTTTACTTCCCAGGACTGCACCATGTAACCACTCAAAGCTGGGTTGACCTGGGAATCACGGTCATTTAAAACAAAAGTGGGCTCCGTTAGGAAGCGAACCCACGACATTCCGATCCGCAGGCGGGTGTCTAGCTGCCAACAGCACGGTGGCTCCCTTGCGCCTTGCGTTGGTTTCCACAGTGGTATCGAGAGGTTGACCGTTCAGAAAGCAATGGCAAACTACTGGCCGTAAATCTCTCTAGACAAACCAAAACAGCAAAACATGCTGGGGTTGGTTCTGCAACATCCTGCAAAGGATACGCAACTAACAAGTCCGCCATTACCTTATGAACTGTCAGCTCTGGGTACCACTGTCGAAGCCAACGCAAGACGATCTGTCCGCTGCTGGGCTGGGATCGAACCCGCCGGCATTACGAAGCTCGTTCGCAACGCACAAGCCACAGACAACAAACTTTTAGGCAACAAGTTGTTCCTCAGAAGTCGGACCTCGTCTGTTGAGCGAGAGGAACTAACTGACTGTATACACGTAAGCCAGATCGGTAAAACGGATGTGCAGGCAACATTCTAGTTCTGGAACAAGCAATGTCCAGAA